TAAAATAAAACACACACATACGTAGGTGCTCAATCACACTTTTAATAATTTTTTAATCAAAAAAGGATAAGACGGTGAGTTTTCGTTAAGTAATAAAACATTATACCACATAATATATTAACGATATTATTTTCTCATTGCAAAATTATGTATTTAATAATGATAACAATATTACATACCTTTTAAAGCATTTTTTTTTTTTTTTATAGATTATTTATATACAAGTGTAATAAAATTAGTCCATCTAGTAATATATAGCTCTTTTATTTTTTTACCGATTATTATTTTAAATATGATGTAAATGTTAACAAATCATGTTTTTCTGATTCATGCTAACCTACTTTAAGTTCCTTTATTACATACTTATTATGCATTTTGCACAATAGAAACTCAATAGCGTATGTGAGATTATCCTATTTAATATTTATATGGAAAAAAAATAAAATTAATAATTAAACAATTTCATTTGTAATAAAAATAATATATTAATTTAGGTTTAATTAATAATATTAAAATTTTTTATTCCTAATTATTTATAAGTATTAATATATATCCATGGTTGAGTTTTCTACCTTTATTTAATAAAAATTATTTCTTTATTTCATAATTTTTTAACAACAAACTCAGTTCATTACTCAAATCAGTTTTCCAATTTAAATATTTAACCAGATAAGAACAGACTTATTAAAGTATAAATATTTATGATATACCTAATCTATATATTTAGGAACATACTTTGTTATGTTTTGTTGTGAAATTGAACTAATTTCAAATTCAATTTATTTAGTTTATTTAAGAATTTTTACCATTATTTTTAAACAAACTACCCAGTTTCTGGGTAGATAAAAGATGGTTTCTGTAAAATAAGATGGCAAAATTATTTTTTTACTTTATATAATAAAGTAATATAAATATATTGACTTCTCCATTATATTTAGAAACGAAAAAAGGTACGTATCTTCATTGGTGGTAAATGAAAGAAAATTCAATAAAAATGTCCAGAAATTTAAAAATTAAATTAATTTAATATATTAAAAGTGAAAAATAATAATGATGATAAAAATAAATATTTTCAATGCAATTTACATTAATAATTATAACGTAAGACGTTTTAAATAAAACATTTTTTCTTAAATACTAAATATTTCTTTACCTATAATTTTTATATGTCTGAAAGACATATATAATTAAATCGTACATTTCTTAGACTATATCTGTTTAATAAAATAAAAACTAATTAAAGGTGATTGTTGATAAATGATTCGACCTTTACGTTTTAGATATTTTTAATTCATAATAAATCAGATTATAACTATAAATGAATTCTTATTACGCAATAAATTGATGCCAATAACGCACCCGGTGTCTTGCATCTTTTATATTATAAAATGAATTATAATTCAATAATTTAAAAACAAAATTATTTGAATAAATGGTGGTTAAGAATATATTAAAATTATATACATTACCATACATACAATTGTAAGTACTGTGTTTACTAAATATACATAAAAACTGACAACAAGTACAAGACATTTTATATTTGGTCAAAACAAGATTACATATTTACAATAAATTCACAGTACAATTTCCTTTTAATATTACTCGTTATAAAACTACTACCTAACCTTTCAACGTCAATATAATGTATATTATACTATATACTATAGTAAGTGTTTTCTTATTTTATTTTATTGGTAGTTAATAGTTTTTTTAATAAGTTGCTTTTAAATATTTGGTTTCTGGTCTTTACCGTAAATAGACTTACGCAATAGTACCATGAAAAAGAGAAAATAATAACATATTATTATTAATATTATACATATTTTTACATATTTCTTAATATTTCTTTTTTCATATTTCTATTTTTCTTTAATATTTTGACCGTTTGTCCATTTATGATTCATTAATAATTCAACACAGACAATTTCTCATATTTCCAAAAGTACGTAAACAAAATAATTCCAATAATTAAATTTAATCTTTGGTCGAAATATGTTCGATGTTTCAATATATTCGACAAGATAAATAACTTTGGGTCAAAGTTTAGAACTCGTAGAAGCAACTGTAAAATGCATAGAACAAGTACAAAGACCATTAGGAGTTGCAATAAAAGAAAAAATTTAGAGTGTATTAAACAAAAACCCTGGGTTTAAACTGCCTAAAATTAATTAAAGGTACGAGTATACACTGCGGAATGAATGGGGTAATATTGCAGAAAGAGCTTTTTTGGACATTGAAATTTTCAATTTGTAAATATAAAATTTGTACCTATTACCTCTGTTGAAGTCGAACGCTTCTTTAGTTGGTAAAAATCTGTGTTACGATCCAACCGTAGATCATTTAACTTTGACAATTTGAAGATGCATATAGTATATCATTGCTATTAAGATCAATATGAATAAGGTTGAATTTCATAATAATTTAAATTCTAGTGTCTTAATTTTTTTATTTTAATTTTTTTAATTAATAAAGCGATTTTAAATTTTTTTTAAATATTTTTATAATCCATTTTTTCATTTTATTATCACGTACAAAGCGATTTCTTATAACATTTAAAATCACATATTTTAGTTTTTTTATACATATAAATCCGAGCTCTAGTTATGACTAAGGTAACGTCCCGTTTTTCGTATCTTTATTCCGTTGTCCTCCCGGGAATTGCAAAATGTCCCATTGTCAGAAAATAGAAAAATATAAGAATAGTCAGTTGTAATTTTTTGATGAATTATCTTTTTTATTATATTTAACTAGTATGTGTGCATGAAACGTGTACGCACTATTACTGAATGGTGTATGGTGACAAGTGAGGAGTTAGTAAATTTGGTCCTAAATAACCTTTTCTCGGTAAATTGGGTCCCGGGAAAATAAAGGCAGTAGGTAAGTTGGGTCCCAGGAAAAGAAAGGTAGTAGATAAGTTGAGTCACGGGAAAAAAAGGTAGTAGGTAAAGTTCAAGGTAAACAATTATTTTTAAATATCTAATAATTTTTATTAGATGTCAATTTTAATATTATTGTGTTTTTTAATACATTTTCGGTAAAAACTTAAAAGATACTAATTTAACAAACTCAAATCGACGTACTGTACGCAATGCACGCTACAAAAAATATAGTGAAAATGCTCAGATTTCGTACACTCGTGTCTGTATGTAATCATAAGAACTATCATCAATATCGGTGTTAACTGATAACTGACACACGATATACGACAAACTAATGTACGTATATGCCTATATATGTATCTCAATTAGACATAATCAAAGTTACGATGTTACGAAGTTATTTGATCACAATGGAATCGATAACCGATAGAAACAGTGTGAATTGTTATTTGTAAAACGACTACGGCGAGGTAGTATAGTTAATAGTTGGGACTCAATTTACCTAGCCCCGACGAGTGACGACGGCTAATGGTAGGGGCTGTGTGTGGTGTATCAGGATAGATAACTAAACCAATAAAACATAATAAATATAATAAATAAAAATAAATAATAAAAAAAAAGGTTGTTTATAATAAAAATGAGTTACTCATTAATGAATGTAATTAATTAATTATTTTTTTTTGTTCCTTAAAACCATAGTATTACTTAATTTTGTTAATAATTATTAAATAGAAAAATAAAAATTTGTTTGTAATTAAAATTATGAAGTTACTTTTTTTTTTTTTTTTATCTCATTTTAACTAGAAAAATACGTAGCCTCTTTATCAATGCCCCAATCTGTGAACAAAAATAGGTACTTCGGTAATGTCGAGTTCTACTAGTTATAAAGTAAGAAATTAAATTAATAACAATTCGTTAAATGATTTATTCTCTTTGACTTATTAACGTTAATTTAAACATGGTAATAAAGCCAAGGTAAAACCTACCCGGAGGCGATTAAACTACAATAAGTACACGGCTTTTAGGGGGTTTTAGTGCTGAAATAATAACGTTGCTATTTGGCGGGTATTACAATTTCTCGGATATCAGCTGTAAACTGGTAGCTAGAATTGTTGAACTCTATACCTATACCTAAATCCATTGAATACATTATAAGTATTTGGAAGCGTTATAAACAACATACTATCTAACTCATTAATTCAACTGGTTGGAAGGGTTTATTTTGATTTATTTATTTTTTCTGTAAATTGTATCCATAAATTATAACTGATTTTGATAACGCATGCGTTTTTATATTTTATAATATTATACGTTGCAAAATGACGAGTTTAAGATAATCAAGATTTTTCTTAGAAAAAATACGAATAGTCTTGATTTTTTTTTTTTATAACATTGATTTTCCATTCACAACTACTTTACACTTTTTATACTTTAATAGTAGTTTTATCTATATCCTTTGTGAGAATTAAAATCATATAAAACAATACATTTATATATATTTTTATATGTAATTTATATATCTGGGAGGAGAACAGAATTAACTTTTAATTTTCAAATGACGTTTGAATAATTTTAATATTTAGTTGGCTGTATGAACTTTAATTTTGATTATTTTGGTAAATTGGTTATAGATGTTGAACATTCAAATGGAATTAACAATAAGGAATATATGAATGTTCGATCTATTTTAAGTTTGCCCTCATCTGTCTGCCAGTATTTAGCAAATTTTAACTAAACGACTGTATACTTGATATTTGGTGTTATATCGACACAAAATTTATTATTCTTATAATATTTATTTATGTTTTATTATCTATTTACCACTAATATTTATTTGTTTGATTGATTTTATTCGTATTTATATACTTATTTATTTAATGCAAACATATCAAACTCAAAGTATAAGGTGGGCCAAATATATTAATTAGTTTACTACGTGGACCGCACATCAACATTTACCGAAAATAAGTATATTTTTTACATTTTTTCAATTTTATTCTTTACGGACACAACAGGTATAAATACATATAAAAAACTTTTAAAAAAAATGAACATTCAAAAAAGTCATATTAATAATATATGAGATATCTATTGTTTAAATTAAAAAAAGAAAACATATTAATAATTCTTTTTTGACGATATTTGGCATCTCTTTTCCTCCACCAACTTCTCAATTTCGGGAGAAATATTATTAGATGAAGCCACTTTTAAAACTGAATTTAGATGTATGTCAGTTAATCTGGATCTAACGGATGATTTATTGCTATTCATCAATGAGAATAGTTGCTCACATAGATAAGTACTACTAAACATAGACTTAATTTTACACGTAAATCTGTGGGTTTCTACGTACCTTACAGGCAAAAAATTGTAAAAATTCGGTACACCAACCTCATTGAATTTACGTTTTATATTTGAATCATTTTGAATCTCAATCAATTCCATTTGTATATGTGCTGGAACTTTTACTGCGTCTATTGAAAAAGAAGACGTGAACAATTTAAAATCGTTTTCTAAATATTTTAAATCTTGAAATCTATTTCCGAATTCAGTCTTCAAACATATAATTTGTTCTGAATATGTTTTGTAAAAAATTGGTTCATAATAACTTGTTTTATACGTCATACATGTTGGGAAATGCGTTAAATTTTCATTCTGTAACTGAATTTCCCATAAATCTAATTTACATTTGAAAGCCTTAATATGGTCATTAATAGTTGTTATAATTTGATCTTTTCCTTGTAATTTTAAATTTAAATTTGACAAGTGCTTCGTTATATCGACCATAAAGGATAGGTCTCGTAACCACATTGGATCCGACAAAGTGCTGACGACTTGTTCTTTAGACTCTAAAAATATTTGTATTGCATCTTTTAACTTCCAGAATCGTTCTAATACAGTGGAGCATGATAACCAACGTACTTCTGTAAAGTATGGTAAACCTGAATACTCGCTTTCTAAATCGTTTAAAAAAATCGAAAATTGTCTTTGGTTTAAACCACGAGATCATATAAAATTGACCATTTGTTTTACCGGTTTCATTACATGTGCCATATTAATAACTTTTGTGCATAACATCTCTTGATGTATAATACAATGTATCCTATGAAATGTATGCTCAACATTTTCATTCGCTTTTTTTCGTAACCTTTCAATGAAACCTTTATTTTTTCCTGTCATAGAAGGAGCTCCATCTGTAGCTACAGATGATAACTTTACCAAAGGTAAATCATATTTTTTTAAGAGTTCACAAACAGAAACGAATACATCCTCTCCTGTAGTAGTACCATACAAAGGTTTAATTTCCAATAACTCTTCATAAATATTTAATTCCGTACCGCAAGCTCGAAAGAACACAGCTAACTGAGCTGTGCCACCAATATCGGTACTTTTATCACAAGCAATTGAAAAATACTCGAAACTAGGTATTTTGATTTTTATCTGATCACTCGAATTGCATGCTAGTGCAGTTATTCTTTCAGCAACCGTATTCCGTGTTAATGAAATGTTTTGAAAAGCTTTTAGATTCCCGGGACAAATGATTTCAGCCGTTTTAATCAAACACGTTTTTATAAAATCACCTTCGGTGAATGGTTTCGAATGTTTGGCAATTAACTCTGACAATACATAACTAACCTTTACTGTAGCTTCATTTTCTTGTGGTATTTTAGTGAACATTAATTGTTGGTGTTTATATCCTGATTTAAGTTCTTTCAGTTTTTCTTGTCTTAATAACCCTTCATAGTGATCGTATTTTGACTTATGTTGTTCGTAATGTCGCTTAATATTGTACAACTTTAGAACACTAATAACACTTTTACAAATTAAACAAATTATTTTATTATTGATTTCACTACAAAAATATTGTAATTCCCAATGTTCATGAAATTGACGATGTTCATTGGTAATTTTACGTTTATAACTACCACTTGGTTTTGATACAGACATTTTTAAATTTTAAATTTGTAGTAAAATATACGCAACAAAATTTAAACTCGAACACACGCTGGTTGTCGAACGACTAGTTTCCAAAGGCACGCGTATCGCGTACCGACGATATAAATTATTAATCTATATTCTATAATCTATATATATATTTATTATTTGTACATATGAAACCATCAATAACACTAATTGCTCGATTAGATTAAAGTTTATCAGAAGATAAAACATAATAATGTATACCAAAATATATACCATTTTCAAAGAATCTATGTTAGTTGAAACACATGATTAATATTTTATACATTTTTTTTTTATTATTTTTTTTTATTTTGTCCATTAATATTACTAGCCAAGGGCCACAAAAAAATAAGTCACGGGCCGCGTGTTTGACATGCCTGATTTAATGTAACCAACTCATAGCTGTTAAATTTAATTTTAATTCATTTATTCTAGTCGTACTTATATACAAGGTTGCTTAACACGAAAGAAGAAGATGAATATTTGGTGTTTACAAAAATATTGCTTCGTGGTTTATAAATATAATTTGATAATTGAAAATGAAAATTAGCACTGTTTTACAAATATTTCTGGAGTGATGGTATTATTTAAATACAATGAAACTTGACTTAACGAACACCTCTCTCAACGGTATTATGAAAACATATTAACTTAGAAAAAACAAAATGTAATAGTCTATATACAGATGAAATATATTGTACTCGTATGTACGGGTTGATCTACTTATGTAAGATTTATTGGTGTTTTTACATAGTAAACAAACAAACCAACCCGTATGCTAACCTAAATTTAATATAAATACTAAGAAAACCGAAATCCAACATTTGAAGTATCTTTTATATCCAATCATCAATAACCCCACCTCATTAGATACTTTACGAAAATGTTAATACTATCTTTAATTGTATATTAAAAAAAATGCCAACCATGGTACGGGCTCATATCGAAATATATGTGATATTATGTTGATATTATGTGTATTTTCACCACAAAAATGTGCATCTTCACAAAAATCAAATGATTGCGATGATGAATGTTTTCGATATTATATGCACTCATACATCATTAATTTGTATATTGTATTGTCGATATTTGTCATCTGCCTCCCAATGAACGTCTTTAACTGGGATGAGTTGATATTTTTGGGGTGAAAACTATACATCACGTAACTGCGTGTGATTAGTCAAAATATATTTCGCTTACATTTACAACTAGAGGTTTTTTAGTTTTGAAAAAAATACATCCACAACATTCGCCTTCGAACCATGATTACCCGCAGACGATACACTTTGATACACGTGGATGTACGTCACCGGTAATACAATAATTGATTTTTACGACATCCGAATTAAATGTTTCATATACCGTGTACGAAATGTTAATTAAAACTGTTGGAACTAATTCCTTCAAATTGCACGTTCAGCAATTATCATTTGTCGCGTGTATTTATTACGTGATTCCATGCAGTTAACCAAGACTATATTTTAAACGGAACTACGAATGGTTAGGAAAATAATTTACTTTAAAACACATATTATGTGATACCATAATTTAAGGTAAAACGATCCACTTTTGAGGGAATAAATAATGTACGTAAATGTATGTAAATAACTACGGTTTAATTTTGACGAGAAATCAACGATGAAAATACTGTTAGCAGCATGGTAATTTAAATTTAACAACGAAATTCCGTATTATGAAATATTAAATGTTTAATCGGAATATGTCACTGCCATAATTATGAATATGTGAATATGGTTTTACTTGTGACGTGAATCTGATATCGCTCCAAAATATATTATATTTCAAGAGATTTTAAGAGAACGTTATCATGCTTGTTTATTTAACGATTTTGTGCGGACCAATGTCACGGAAAATCAAGATATATTTATAATTTAAGAATGTTTATAGAGGTTTTAAACTTAGCTTACAACTGTTCCTATGTATAAAATCTCGTGTCATTGTCATTTGGGGAAGTTTCATGATTCTGAGTCTTTTTAAGTAAACTGTTTTGTATTATTATTCCATACATATTAAAATAGAATAAACCGATATAAACACAGGAATTATTTTGTAATTTATTAACGATCAGTGTTTATTAACATATTATGTTTAATATCGTATATCGTAGTATAATAACGATTTTTAAATCCTTTAATTAACGGAGACCATTAAAGTTTTACTATAAACAAAATCGCACAATGGCATTACACGATAAACATTTATATTGAGAGGAATATTAATTTTCATCTTCTTTTCAACATAATTCTTAAAACATTATAAGGGTACACACATTTATCAAACGTTATCATCATTCTTAGATGCTTATGATTTGATATAACATTCATATTACAAAAAAAAAAAATCAAACCAACAAGTATTCTATGTTGGGCGCTTTCCAGTTTTTCTTTGTCAATAATGGATTATGTATTCCATGCAATAGCAATATCTGTAATTTAAAAATAAAACATTTCAAGCAACTCAGATTTCAAAACTATAAATCAATTTAGTGTAATGAAATCATATCTATTAAAGTACATTATTTTCACGTATTTACAACATATTTTCGTGTACTTTGATTTTATGTACTATTTATTCGTCACTTGAAACGCGTTATGATTGTACATAATTATATTTATTACTCTAACCCTCATGTTGTATAATGCAATATTAATTCAAACTGTAGAAAAATAAACACAGTAAAAGTGGAAAAAACCATTAAATACTTTATAGGAAGATTGTATTTAGGCACACACATTATATCACAAACTATTAAATATCATGTTGCAGTACCATTAGCCGTAAAAGATACATTCTCTTGAACTGTATTAAGCATAATATTTTTAAAAATAAATATGTCTTTCTATTTTCGTGTAGATTCACTTAATTCATATACGTTCAGTGAACGTATAGTTCATTTTTATATGTATACACACCGATTTAGGGGGTGAGACCAGAAAAATATCATTATTTTTTTTTTCTCATATGGCTAAGGAACACCCTAACGTTCACCAACGTCGTAACTGAATAACTAATATGTATAAAAATACCCAGGTTATTAATTTTATATATCTATTATAAATATGTTTTTATTGATTAATATCAAATAATTTTAATTTACAAACTTATTCGATCATTATACTTAAATAGTATAAAATTTGTTCACTTAAGGTTTTTTTTGGTATCGTATTTCAATATTTCCTAGGAAATGTACGTATCGAATTTGTTTTGTATTTATTGACATTATAGTATCTAATTATTTAATTGACGTAACTTATTTAACAAACCCAATTTATTTGTGACTGTACTATCAAGAATTTTGAAACTTCGATTTTTTTCGAAAAAAAATTACTTGATTATATTGCGGAATAGAAATTGTACAATGAAAAAAATTTCAAATAGATAATATTTAAAGTAATAATAATAATAAGTTATATTTAGGAATAGAATTCTGTGATTAAATGTTATTTTATTTCGATTTTTTTAATTATTTTTGTAAATTCTTACAAAATTCTTCTTCTTTAATCTTAACTTTATGCACACATAAATTATATTACTGCACACAGAATGTAAAATTTAATTATGAATAATAATTCATTGATTATAATATCCACTTCTTCGAACATACCATAAAAAACGTAATGAAAAAAACATATTTTTCCATTTTGCAGTAAATAATCGTTTAATGATCGATATGTATCTTAAAAATTAAATAGTTGTTATCTAACCTTTTTTTGTAACACTCGCTCCTAATTATAAAAACCATCTTGTTAAGCACATTAAGCCAAGTTTGTGCGATTTCCTTGTTATTTTATCCTACAACTTTTTCAATATTTCACTGTCATACCTGTCACTCGCAAAGGCATCATTTCAATGTACTCTATTTGATAACTTAATATTATAATAACGTTTATCATTTGAGCCATATTTATTATACGCTCAATAATTTTAATTGATTCTGGATGATTTAAATAAAAACCTCAAAAAATGTATGCAAGATAGTCAATTATTTACTTTACATAACCAAATACCGTTACACCCGCATAATACCACATAATTATTTGTCTAAAAAGAATAAGTGGGAAAACTTAATTTTCCCGTTTTTTCATGTTGTATTTGTGTGGCCATAGAAGTGAGGATATATTACAGTAATACACATAAGTTAGTTTTTTTTTATTGAAACACTACGAGAATATTTGCAACAATTAGTTTTTACAACCACACAGAAAAGTTTAACTTCCCTGTCTTTGCGTTATGACCATCCTATCAGGACACACCGAGGACACTCACTGGTAAAATTTATGGCTAGAAAAATAGATGTTCTAATTACTCACCTTAAACTTATTCTCTCGGTGTGATGTTGTTTTTGAAATACAAAAAAGAAACATTTACACTGGCAAAAATCTTTATTTAAATTTAAATACTTAATTAAAGAGTTATATAATCTCATATTTCTTTATTTCGGACGGCAATATGTATGTGTAAGTGTTTGATGTACCAGGTATTAGCACCTATGTGGTATTATTGTTATGCTAATGTAATTTTTTCTGTTTGTTAGGATTTCATCATGTATAATAGCATATGCAAGGAGGGCCACAGGACAACAGAGCAAGCAGGCTGCCAACCATCCTCTCCAGTTTCATATTAATATCATAAGTTATAAAGATAAAATTATCGATTAAATGTATTATTGGATGATGTTTTAAGTATTTGCAAATACATCAAAAATAATTTTACTTTTATGTAACGAAATGTGGAATTACTACGTAAATTACTTACTTAAAAACAAGTAATACTGGTCCGATTTTATAATAGTCTCCACGCGGGCTATTAATTTAATTTTATGTTGATTATTATTATATTGTTTTTAAAAATACAACTAGCCTTCAGCTAACTGACCGCTTAAAATGAATTGTAATATGAAATTGTATTTAATCTTATATGCGTCGAATATTGAACGTGTGTGAAGTTCGCCCCAACTATAAAAAATACTTTCCAAAATAATTGTAACCTTATTTTCTTAATTTGTAATTATTTGTAACCAAGTTTTTAGAATTTGTAACCTCATATTTTTCAAGCTACGGATACTTTCTGAATGAGGGGCTGCCCCCCCCCCCATTCAACGAAATCGTCTAAAAAAAGTTGTGACTTATAAAACTAAATTGGTTACTATTTGCAACCAACTTTTTAGAATTTGAAACCTCATCAATTTTGAGTACCCATGAATTTCCTTAAGAAGATATCTTTATAAAAAAGTTAAGATTGTAATTTATAATATCAATCAATTAAATCAATTCACCTATAACATATCGTAAGTTGAAGAAAATAAATCTATATTTAATAAAAAAAAAAAAAAATCTAGATTGAATAAATATGTCTTAATTAATTAGAATTTTACTTTTATTTTTATTCGATTAGGCTAAAATCTTAAATAAAATGTTTTATAACATACTAAATTTATGAACATATATAATTGTTAGCCCTTGTAACTTATTATAAGAAGCTACTTTACATTCATTATATTTAAATAATATAAAATAAATTATAAAGAAAATTAATGTAAATATTTCTTCGAATTATTAAAATTATTTTTAAAAATAAATATACACATGCTAGAGCAGCCATACTCAACCTGCGGCCCGCCAATGGTTTATATGTGGCCCAAACAGAACTCATTGAATTAATAAAAAAATGTTAAAATTAGTATTTAACTGTTTACCTTTCTTTTCCAACAAACAACTTTGATAGTATATCATTGACCAAGATTTTATTTTCATTTACCATATTATCCTTAAAAACATCTGTTTCTAATAAAATATGTTCCTGCAGTATTCTTATATAATTTCTACTTCTATTTTCGCAGTTTGGTCACCATTTTTATTTTTTTTCCCGTAACATATTTATTTAAATATATATTCATATCTTCTAAGCGTCCTCTACTATTTAAAAATTCACCGAGTATTATTGTTGCATTATAAAATACGGTTTTTTGTAGTAAAAATAGTGCATTCCAATATTTGTATACTGCTAGGTATATCAGATAAAAACTTGTTACATAAAGCAATAACATTGATATTTGTATACAATATTGAGGTTCAGATTCTACTGATCACATTGTAAAAAGTTAAATTTCTATCAACAAATTACTATGTTGATCATAAGTTATGCTTGTAACTCCACAAAGAGAATATATTTTCATAGTCTTATAAAATGATTCATTCTATTATTATCAATATACAACTTATAATTTTGTTATCGATGTAGCTTACTGTTATACCTACTAAAATGAATCAAAAATACGTGTTAAATATCAGAATTTTTTTCTTTATTTACTTTAAGAGCTGGTTAAAGATTTCCGTTTATTATCATTGATAATGAAATTGATTGTAAACCTGAAATATTTAGTACATGGTGAATAATTGAACATGAAATTGTATATTTCGAAAATCGTTTGGAATTTCTTCCTCTTTCTTGATTTTGATAGGTCGGTCTGCTTTATTTCTCCAATTTTCTTGTGCCATTAGTTCATCTGTTATTATTATATTGATAGATTAATCTGAATTAATAGAAATATCATCATCACTATAAAATTCCAATTCAACATTATTACTTACATTGCTGTTTATATCAATTTCCTTATTTGTTTAATTACTATATCATATCAGAACTGTTGTTTGATTTAATATCATTTTTTTTATTTATATTCTTGATTTTTGTTAATTTGTTATGATCTAGTAATTTTCAATTCTCCTTCTATTGATAATAAATGTGAACCAACAAAACGGTCTATGGTCCTGAGTGATTGTCTCAATTCATTTTTTGGCATGAGAAAAATATCCTTTGACTGATGCTGAAATGACCTTTTCATATTTTTATTTGTAGTGTCTAGCCATTATGTTTGTCTGGAAAAGAAAATCTTTTATAATACGAAACGTTGCTTCTAAAAAATGCATCTAATATTTTCTTCCATTTTTTCATGAGTTTTTAGTATTTCTTCTTTTGATAGTGAAGTCCATTTAGGTTTCAGACGTCTTAGTACTTGGACTAGAGACGAGCGTTCGTCAAATAGTTGATCCACGTTGATAGAATTTGGTACAATACTGACAACAATTATTGTACTAGCCTCTATCTTTTCCCAAGTAGGATCATTTTGTAGCATTAACCATTTGAATTTGTTAGCTTTGTCAAAGCTATTTTCCCAAATTTTCAAATAATGAATCCCTGTTTGATAAAAACCTTCCACATTTTTACGAAAATGCTTTTCCTTATCATCGTTAACTGTATTATCATATTTTAGCCTAACAAGTAGCTGGTTAGCTGCAAACAGTATAAAGTTATTTGCTTTCCGTTCTTCCAGTTTGATAATTAATTCTTCATACACTTGTGTTGCTTCTGAAGCTGTTATAAAGTCAGAATCAAGTTTTAGAATAGATATTTGGAACATTTGAATAGTTCCGTGCGCAAACTTTAAATAAAGTTCAGATACTGGGTCTTCAAAAAAAGCAAGTAACAATACAGTACAGTTTTCAATGGCCATGGAATACGACTTTAAGGCATCAAACAATAACAGTATCCGTTCTATGACAGGTAATAAGCTCAAAAATCTCGTATTTCCATGAGAAGGGACTTTTTTATACTCTATATTTGCAAAGTCGCAAAATTCTTTTAGCACAGTCACTCTGACAGTATACCGAAAAAAGAATTTTTACACTTTTACTACTATTACCTCAACATCATTGGACAGAGCATCGCATGCTATCTGGAAAGTATTGTGCAAGATATGAGCCGCACAACCAATTCCAAGAATATCACGAGACAAAGACTTTTACAGTTTTCGAAAAACATTTACTTGACCTTTTCTTTTTCCACCACCGAAGTTAGTATTAGTGTTATCAGCGCAAAGATAAATAACTTTTGAATCAATAGAATACTTTTTAATACATTTAAAAGATGTTCCACCAAAAGATCAGAGGTTTCACCCAGAAGTTGATCAAAATATAAAAGTTTAACCTTAATTCCTTCATTTTGATTAAAACAACGAACGCATACAGGAGTCAGTTTGATTTTTTTTCTGTTAGAACTGTCAATCGTTAGAGTAACAAAATTTACGTCGTTAAGATCTTAAGTAATTCGTTAAATATGAAAGGATATATAACATTTACAATAAATGCATTGCTTCCATTATAGTCCAAACTCCTGGAAATTTTGGCTCAAAAAACTTTTTAATTAGTTTGACAGTACGTTCTAAAACTTAATCTGTGTATTGCATTGTAGTAAGCAAAAGTTGCTTCTTTTGCCGCACACTGTAATTCGTCATTTGTGGCGTTAATGTGTTTAAAAAAAGATTTAATACTTGCCGTGGACACTACTTGAGTAGCGTTTTTGTTTCTATCACTTTGCATGTGATTTTCAATATCACACCATCCTCGGTGCTCCACAAAAAATTCGGAATTGCATGTCAAAAATCTCACGCAGTCATTACCATTTTGACATTTTTTTAGAAACTTATAATCTCCTTTTAGTTTGTCGGTAAAAACACACTAACGTTTAAGCATTTTGTAAAAACGTAGACACGTAGTAACATAAATTAACAAAACTAAAATATTCCAAGAAAAACACATCCATAAGATAAACAAATGACAACCACCTCTTCACACATAAAACTGTCGAATGAATAATACGAGTCGAGAACTAATCAACACACGCATATAAAATAATATTTTAGTAGGATTTAGTAATTATAGTGTATTTTATAACAATGATAATAACGGGTAATCGCTTATCGTGACGTTCCAAGAAAAAATATTAACAAATATAGAAATTACACATTGTACATTTATACAGAGTGAACACGAAAATCTGTCACCTGATATAATATTTTGTATCAAAGTAACCATATTAAACAATTATCTTTGTAAAATCTGGACATTTTTCAAATCCGGACTGTCCGGACAAAATCCGGATGTATGGTAACCTTAGTTATACTTGTAAGTATTATCTTTGTACCTGTTTTGTTTCAATATCACTATCCAATTCTTGATGGCTGATTTTATTATTGATGTTTGCCTAATATATGTAATTACATGTTTATATCAGACGCCAAGAATTGAATAGTGATATTGAAACAAAACAGGTATAAAGATAATATTTATAACTAAGGAGAAAAGAGAGAAGTTTATGGAAATAGTTAAAGTATCTTTTAAATTAAAAGCTTGGATAATGTTGATATCAGTGCATTTTTTGGACAGGTTTTTTTTTGTTGCAAGAATATAACTGTTCTAATTTTGAGCTTGTTGTTTTTTTCCTTTTTGAAAGTTTTTTTGGGGAATATCAGTATTTTTTTTACTTTTTTTTACACCAAGAACTATAGAGCATAAATATTATAAGTACTTATGTATTATTACTCATTGTTATATATTAATACAATTATCATTATCATTAAGTCTATCAAGTTATAAATTTCTCTATTGAACAATACTTACTTTTTTTTTTCGTTTCATTATAATATCACAGATACAGAATTAATGGTCGTTGTTTATTAAGGAACGTAGTGGGGGTCACTATCAGTCATCATTACTAAATGTATATATATACATTTTCTTGAAAATAGACGAAAACCCCAGGTTTAATGTTTATACTATAATTATACCTATTTATATATAGTTTTCGAATATTGCGCAGCAGCGAAATATTTTTTCCCGGGTAATCTGAGCGATAATAATACAGACGCGGCAAGTTTGATGTACGGTTTTTAAGGTACGACATGTCGCGGCGACAAATCGTCGCGTCTGATGGCCGCAACCAGTCGTCGCGACGCTTTTTGGATAGAGTGGTTTCCAAGACGTGACAAGTCGCAGCGACACAACTGGTATTCGGTCAGTGTCCGTTTTTAAACTTGTTCAAGTGTGCACGTATTTTTTATTTTTCATATAATATAATATAATATCATATCACAACGAATAAATATATTTTTTATAATAATAATATTCTTCTTACACTATTATTATTAGAAAAAGAAAAACAACAATAACTAATTTTAGTTACCTCATCGCCAAACATTAGAAAACCTATAAATTAATTATTTATAAATCGGGATAGAGAATAATTGATGATAATCAAATGTCATCTTTTTGAATAATATTTTTATAATTTGGATCTCCAATATTGTAAAGAAGTATATTATTCTGGACTTCACAAATTAGAATTTCGTCTTCCGACGCTGGGAATATCAGTGTTGATGCCATTATATTTACAAACGTTTCAATAGTCGTTGCGATGTGTCATGGCGACAAAACGCAAGGTACTGCTCTCGGAGCAGTAGTGTCGTCGGTCGCGACGACTCATAGTTAGGTCGCTGCGACTTGTCGCATTTCGCAAATCAATGAATAACATATTCGTATAAACAGATGTTCACGACTGGTCATCGCGACATGTCGTACCTTAGAAACCGTACCTTTACGTCTGTAAACAGCAAAATTCCGAGATACAAGTAATTGCTGTCGTGTATTTGATAAATCCTATACTATATACAAAATATCTCGATGCATGTGTTATGTTCATTTCGGTCTGGGCTCATATAACATTTTATGTTTAATATGCTACGGCATCATTGTCATCTCTGTCATGGGTTTTATAAAAATAAAATTACAAAATAATTAATAAGTAATCCAATGTGATCACACACTGCAGTCGGCAAATCAGCATATTATCCCGTATTATTCTAATATTATAATTTAAATACAAAATATACATATACATATCAAATATAAATAGTAATAAGAAGTAATCATTAAGAGTATAATAGGATTTTAAAATTTTTTTTAAATAATTGTTATAAATATTTGTTGGCATAATCATAAAATAAGAAATGTTTTTACAATTATAAAATATTGGTAGTACAAACGCATCAGCTAGATATTGTATAGTATATTAAATTGTATATTGTATAGACTTGTGTATTTACTGGAATGACTCGAATTTTATCATACATCAATAAATTACACCAGAGAAGAGATTTATGTAAATTTAAGACTTATGACCCTTTAAGGGGCGATGGGGGGGAGGGGTGATTTTGGGTAATATTGAGTTTTTTTTCAATTTTTCTTTTATTGTTCTCTAGTCACCCTCGATCAAAATCTGTATTAAAATTTTTGTCAAGTTTCATAACTTCGTTTTTTCTCTACCTTAATTGAATGTTTTTTTCATTTTTCGTCAAATCAACTACTTTTGCACCCTTAGAAATGAGGGTTAAAGTGAACTCAGAATATTCGTTCTTGTCTTATTTAAGAGCTGTGGGCATAGGTATTAAAAAGTCATAAAAATATTTGCATTTATACTGCCTCTCCGGCCGCTGTGGATGCCGCTTAACCCCATTTAGTTGTGAAGAGTATAATAAGCATTGTACGGTCGACCGTTATTCCATTGCCGTCGCGGCGCACTCTCTTTTTTTAAGCTTGGCTTACAGGTCGACCGATTTGCTTGATCTTTTTTATATAATAAGTAAAGAGAGCAACGTATTTTTAAATTTTGCTGTTAAAAACCGTCTATAATGGATACGGGAGAATAATATTTCTTGTAAAATAAGGACCGTAATTTTCTTATATTTTCAGAACAAGGTTGAATACTAATTTAAAATAAGTGCTTCGGATAATATATTAACCGAATTAGATAAAAAATAAAGTTATACCATGTAAAGTTTTAATCGAATAAAACATGAACAAAAATTAATCACACTTTAAAAGAAATTATTAAAAAATATTTTCAGTGATTATTTTAAACTTTTTGGGGACATGAACGTAACTTATATATTGCATATTTTTTTTAATAAAAAAAAATTGAGCATGTGTTTGACTAATATAACGTTCTATTGTGCGCGTGCACGAGGCACATATACAGACCAATTGTTTTGTTTTTACCATAATAGATAGTGATGGCGCGGCAAGTGCCCAACAATGATAGAGGGGGCTAACTCGTTCGTCTTAATAATTATACAAAGACTGGTATTAAAATAAAAATATTATGAATAAATAAATAAAGATTGGTATAAATGCAAAAACGAATGGTAACTAAATAAATTGAATAAATAAATCAAATGTGTGGCCCACACGGCGCACATGAAATAATAAATAATTTGCCAGTGACGGCTAGGCCCGTCGGCCCTTAAGCTAATAAACGAATATGGTCGACCAATACTCACAAGTGTGACTGCGTTGAATGGCGGATTGCATCCCACGCGACCACAACGAGGAATGTGCTTTTACAATATACTAAACAATACAAAAAAACTCAAAAAGCACAGTCCCCGCTGCGTGCGACCACCCAAACACAGTCAACCACGAAGAAAGAAGATCTACAGCGCAGACGAAGACAACACGAATGAAAACCACGTTATTCACAATGGCTATTGGTAAGTGACCACACTAGAACACGATGACTATAAATGAAAGGCAATACTAATTGCGCTGAACTCCACTTACCAGACAGCCGACATGAGAACACGAAAGCATAGAAAACGTGGTTATACAAGATGGCTGTAGACCAAAGAACACTTGAAGAGACAGTTGATGTGCACACCACGACGAACACGAACAGAAGATCGGTGCCGACGACATTCACCACGAAGGCTATGCCGCCGATCACCACAAAATGATGATAAATGTCTCAGTGCCACCACACTAAAACTATAACACGAGAACTTATGAAACTTTGTGGCACTGAGAGCATGACATTGACTTTTACCGAAAACATAACCGAAAACTTTGAAAACGTGGAATAACGGACTCATTTACGCGCGACGATAACAACGCGATTACGTACCCGGCCGGTCGCACACGGAGGCTTATCACCGCCGCCGACGATGGCTGCGGATACGCAACGCACCGCTACGCACGAAAATGGTAACATTCATTACAACAATCACACATATTAACGATCTCACGCGCGATAAGAATCGATACGAACAAATATACAAACATGCATTTAGACAGGGGAATTGGCACGAACAAATAGATTTTATTTTTGGAACTGTTAATAATGTTTATTTTTGTAGCATTACACTGTTTTATTATATATAAATATTTATTCTGTTATGCCAATAGTAAACCTCTTCATATCTAACTACGTTATTTTTACTAATGCACAATATTTATCTATTGTCTTAGGATAAGGATAGTAAATTACATTTTTTAATTAAAAAAATAAAACTATAATAATTAGAAAATCTTCAATTTTCTTAAATTAAAATTTTTAACTGTATAATTTTAATTTAAAAAAATCTTATTTGAATTTGAATTTGAAATATAATGTAAAATTAAAGTATAAAATCTTTGAGTATATTCATTTTTTTTTTGCACAATATTTTTCTGCTAAATTAAATTTATGTTTTAAAAGTATATCGAACTTGAGATATGTTTAAAACAATGTGAATATCTAAAATTATTAAATATTTCTGTTCATTCTCCCAGAATTTATTTGGCCAAAATATTTTCTTATGTTAGATCCATAAAAAATTTGACCAATGTTTTGACTTTAATTGTCTAAAATTCCTAGTTATCATAGATCACCACCACCGTTACTATCACCAAAAGTGCTTCTATTTAGATTGCCTGGAACATAAGCAGTAACACCGGCATTTTCCTTTTGTATGATCATA